GGGGGGGGGGGTTCGTGTCACGGTATGACATCGCCCTTTTTTTTTTCTCTCTCTTTTTTCTTTTTCGTCGAGGATCGTCCTTGTTGTTGCACGCGCGCGCCACCGAATCGAATCACCGCTCGGGGTAAACGTAATTTCAGAAGGAATAAACTACGTGGGAACACGAAAAATCGCCATTTCGGCGGATGTTGGGCCGCTCGTTGTTATTAAGGCCTTCGCTTTCGCCCTCCCGCCTGCTACACGTTACGCATTACTACAACCCCTTTCCATCGTTCGTTTCCATCCACGGGGAATCGCGTTGCGCTTGTATCGCGCCGCTACTTTGAGACCGGCTGGTGTGGTGGTCGTGCGCTTTAATCATCGATTTCACGATGATTCAGAGGGCCTTCCGACTCGCGTGGGCCGGCCCCGGATTTAATACATTTCGACCCGTTCACGGCTCCGCCACGGTGGTATTTATCTGGGCCAACCACTGTTATTTTTTTCCCCCATGCCCGGCCGCCGTTTCGCAGCACGAGAAAGGAGTTTCGAAACGGCGAAAAGCCCGCAGGCGGGATGTTCCAACCAACGTCGAACTATTTTTCTTTTTTCTTTTCTTTTTTTTTTTTTCTCTCTCCTCTCCCCTCCCTCCCCCTTCCCCGCGCCTTTTCGAGTCGCTTGCCGCCGAATTGATCCCCGCATTACAAAGAAACGGGTATATAATCTATGCATGGAACTTTTGATAGACTCTCGGCATCGGTTTAATGACCGTTTTACGCGTTACAAAGAGTTCCTCTCTGTCGCTCGTCACCTCGTTTTTCGGCAGTGCATTAAAATTTCAATTTCGATCATCTCTCTTTTTTTCTTTCTTTTTTTTTAAATGTTCCATAAACGGTCTCGGATATGTCGATGTTATAAATAATATTCCGATAGATTAGCAAAGAGGGGTGGATAATTGTATATACGTATACGGATGTTCATACAGGAAAATATATAAAAAAAGTAATCCGCGCGAGTTGATCGAATTGCGGTTCGAATCGGTGTTTGAAACGTGTCACGACATCGCGGAGTTGAATGAGAGAAGATGAAATGATTCGTGAAATGATCGTGGACGAAAAAT